GGGGGGGGGGGTGTGCACGCGACGGGAAGGGTGGTTGGCGGGTGCTCTGGTGTGGTTTCCTCCTTTTTTTCGTATATCAAACATCTATTGTCTTTTTCTTCTTTTGTTTATTATATGTTACTCTTTAGTGAGACTGTGGGTGGTTGGCGGTTGCTCTGGTATGGTTTGCTTCTTCTTTCCAAACATCGTCCTTATCTCCCCTCTTTCATTTTTGGTGGGTGGTTGGCGGGTGCTCTGATGTGGTTTGCTTAGTCTTTCCTATGAAACATCTATCATCCTTATCTCCCCTTCTTCTTTTTTATGTTTGTTACTCTCTTGTATCACCTCTAATCTTCTGGCGCTCATATGACCTTATGCATTTGCGAGCGCCGTAAAACTTCCACTAAAACTAAAACTTTCATTTTTGTGCATTTCTTGTAACACCTCTAATCTTCGGCACTTATATGACCGTATTGTGTTCCAAGTGCCGTAAAACTTTTACTTAAACAGAAAACAGTCTGGTGTGGTTTACTCCTTTTTTTCTTATATCAAACATCTATCTTGCTTTCCTTTTTTTCCTTCTTTTGTTTATCATATTATTATGTTACTCTTTAGTAAGACTACCTAATCTTAGGCACTTATGTCGTCTATTTGGGTTGCAAGTGCCGTAAAAGTCAAACTGATGAAACGTTGTAGTGTTGTACATGCTACAGCGCGGTTGGTTAGAGGGTGCCACTGGTATAGCTTCATCTTTTATATTCCCTCTGTCATTTCTGTCTGTCTGCTTTTATTCTTTCCCTGCACTAAACGACCGTTATCTTATCAATGTGCATCTCGAATTTTTATTTTTTTTTGGGAGGGGTGTTAGTATTTTTTGACTTACATAACCAAAACTACTATGTCAACAGTATCGTAAAACATCTACCAAACCAAAACCCTAATTTGTTTCCCTTTTTCTTCTCTCCCCTCCCATCTTACAGCCATGGACTCCAACATAACGCTGTGGCAGTTCCTGCTGGAGCTGTTGCTAAGCAACCAGCACCAGAACATCATCCACTGGACCAGCCAGGAGGGCGAGTTCAAGCTGGTCAACGCGGAGGAGGTGGCGCGCCTGTGGGGACTGCGCAAGAACAAACACAACATGAACTACGACAAGCTGAGCCGTGCTCTGCGCTATTATTACGATAAGAACATCATCAAGAAGTCGCTGGGACAGAAGTTTGTCTACAAGTTTGTGTCCTTCCCTGAGATTGTCAAGACAGAGACCAAAGTGCCTTTTAAGGTGAGTGTGGTGTTTGTAGGTGTGTGTGTGAGAGAGAGAGAGAGAGTGGAAAGATCCGAGTGGGGAGAGGAGGGGGGAAAGGTTCAAAAGTGCCTTTATAGGTGCGCAATGTGTGTATGTGTTTGGAGGGAATGCATTGGTGCCTTTTAAGATGAATGGAATGTGAAACCAATTAAAAGGAGGCGGGGTGCAAAGATGCCTTTGCATGTGAGTGGTGTGTGTGTGAATCTGCTTTCGAGGCTCTCACCCCATTTTGCTATCAGAGACTTTAAATTCGGAGTTCCTGTAACTCATATAACGTAAAAAGTGTTGATAGAGTCATTAAATCCATCCATTTACTTTATTTTTATCACATCACTGTTTTCTAGAATTTTTTTTTTTTTAAATTCTAACTCAAAAAGCTGTGTTGTTCACAATGCCATGTTTACCTCAATTGTTCTCAGGTGAAAATGGAGACACTGGCCAATGAGTACGGCCAGCGCGTGTTGCCGCATTTTGCCTCGTACAACGCCCACGAGATCAAAGCCAGCCAGGACGCGGCCCTCAAGTACGCCGTGCACAAGCCCGGCCAGCACCACCTAGGGGGAGACGACTCCTGCCACCGGCCGGGGCTCGGCAAACACCACCCGCTGGACCTGGAGAAGCACTCGGTGAGCTCCGACCTGATCCTACAGCAGCAGGAGAGAGACCGCGAGCTGAGGGAAAACCGCGACCCTCGCCTTATGACCTCGCCCAAGTCCCACCACCCCCACCCACACCCTCACTCGCACCACCCCTCGGTGAATTCTGCGGCTGCTGCAGCGGCGGCGTCAGCGCTGTCCGGCTCGCTGTCGTCCCACCCCCCCCGCACCTTGCCATAACCAAACCGACGAGTGACGTGTCTTAATTCAGCAGGCACAGAACAAAATTATAAATAATTGATCGGTCCAGGCTATTTCAAACCTCAACATGGTATCTTTTTGTGCTACCAGCGTACATCGAGGACTGACTGACTACAGCCACATTTATATAGTCTAACTTTCCTCAAGTAAAAGTTCACTTGTGAGCATGAAAGCGATATCTCTGTAAAAATGGGGCCTTATTTGATCCACAAGCTGCGTCTACAAAATAACGGGAAGGAAACAAATTGTTGGAGCAAACCAACTTGACATCAGTTTTTTTTCTGCTTCACCTCTTCTTTTCCAACACGATCAAAATCTTTTAGGAGGCGGCTTAATTGCTCCGAATCTGTCTATCAGGGGCAACCCAGGATGAGTGGGATATAGAATCAAGGCAGATAGATGGAGATACTCCACACAAACAAACAAACAAACAAACAAACAAACAAACAAAGAAACAAACAAACAAACAAACAAACAAACAAACAAACAAACCCAAAAAGCAAACTTACCCATGTGGAAATCGAATTTTCGTCTTCGTTTGTGCCAAATCAAAGCTCCTAATTAAATTACATTACGGATGATTCAGTGCCCCTTAAGCCCCGTTTCCATGTGTACGTATTATAATGCGTAGTGCGAAATGCGTAATGCGTAAGGACCGTTAACATGGAAATTTAACTAAAGTGTGTCCATGTGTGCCTGACGCCTTGTCACACATTTACGAATGCACACACACACAGACTCGCACACACACACACCCACACACACATACACACACACACACACACACACACA